ACATCAATAAGAGCTTGCCTAATATAGTGACTTCGAAAATATTTATGTACTTTATATTTATGATCCAATAATATGGCATGCCATCCTATTTGTAGGTCATGGCCCTCCAGACACAATAGTCTCCTATTTTTTAGTAATATCCAATCTCTTACCCATACTAATGCTGCGGCCTGGTAATATTTCTCCAAGTCTGGAAGACCAAATCCCCCCCTTTCCTTTGAGTCATGTAGTAATTTTAATTTAATCCTTGCTCTTTTTCCTTGCCAGATGAATTTACACATCATTTTGTTCAAATTTTGAAAAAATTTCTTGTCTAATTTTATAGGTATACATTGGAACAAAAATAAAATTTTTTGCAACACATTCATTTTAATCACCGCGATTCTGCCCGTAAGAGAGAGCTGTAGGTTAGTCCAAATATCAAAGTCTTTTTGAATCTGTTCTATTAACTTATAATAGTTATCCCTTTTAAGCGTAGCGCATTTGGCAGTCAGTTGTATCCCTAAATGTCTAATTTTATTTGTAATTTGAACACCAATTCTATCAACCAATTCACTTTTCGGTATTTTAGTCATATTTTTGACAAGCATTTTAGTTTTTTCTTTATTTATTTTTAAACCTGCTATTTCCCCGTATCTATTCAATGTTTCCATCAGCCTAATCCCTGATTGTAGTGGTTCTTCAATAATAAAAACTAAATAATCTGCAAAGGCTTGTATTTTAAATGTCTCTTTCTTGATTTCTAGACCTTGGATCTGTTCATCTTGCCGGATTGCTCTAGTTAATACCTCGAGAGATAATATAAATAACAATGGTGATAGTGGGCAGCCTTGCCTTGTGCCTTTTTGCATTTGGAAACTCTCAGTCAGTTCTCCATTGATTATTACTTTGGCCACCTGCTTAGAGTAAACTGATTTAAACATATTTAAGAAATTTTCCCCAAAGTCCATATACAATAATTGATTAAAAATAAAATCCCATTTTACATTGTCGAATGCTTTTTGGGCATCAAGAAAAATTAAACACATTTGCTTTTCATTATGTACTTCATAATATTCCAATATGTCCAAAACAGTCCTAATATTGTTTCTTATATATCTTTTAGATAGAAAGCCGTTTTGATCAATATGTATAAAATCCACTAAGAAACTTTCCAATCTTTGTGCCATTATTGCCATGAAGATTTTGTAATCTGAATTCAAAAGAGAAATGGGTCTATAGTTCTTAATTTGTGTCAGGTTGGTGTTTTCTTTAGGAATCAACGTGAGGAAGGCTTCTTCCCATGAAGCTGGTATTTTAGCTTGGGTTAAAACCTCGTTAAATAAGTCCAACAGCATTGGGCTTAAAGATTCTTGTGCAATTTTATACATTTCTGCAGGTATACCATCTGGTCCAGGTGTTTTATTATTTTTCTGTTTCTTAATTGCAACCGAGAGCTCTAAATGTGTTATCTCTTTATTTAGGAGAGTTTTAAAGTCTTCTGGCACCTTGGGTAAATCGACTAGTTGTAAATACTGTACTATGTCATGGTTATTTCTCTTTTCGTCGTCCTTATATAAATTCTTGTAAAACTCATATGCCACTAGCTTTTTTCCTTCGTTCTGGCACACCAAATCACCTTTGGCGTTATAAAGGTTGGTAACTCTCTGCTTATTATTGTGTTTTTTGATTTTATAAGCCAACCATCTCCCTTGTTTATTAGCATTTTCAAAGAAATTTTGTTTAGTACGTTTTATCTGCTGTCCTAGATCTTCCTTCGTAATAATATCCATCTTATGTTTAATTAAATCAATCTGTTGTTTCAAATCACATCTTTGTGGGTCATTTTGCAGGTTATCCTCAACTTTACGTAGTTCTTCTTCCAGTTGTCTTTGGCGTTGTGTTTTGATTTTGTGTTGCCTAGCCATATAAGAAATTACAACGCCTCTCATGTAGGCTTTGGTTGTATCCCATAAATTTTGGCAGTTTGTATCCTCCTTTTTGTTTGACTTAAAAAACAGATCCAATTGTTCTTCTAATTTTGATTTGAATTCTTTATGATTTAAGATTGCCCTTTTTAGAGTCCATCTCCTCGTGTTTTTTTGCCCCTTCCATTTAATTCTAATCGGATTGTGATCAGCCCAGGTATTTGTATCAATCATAATCTCATCTACTTCTAAATTTAAGTCAGCTGACATCCACACCATATCAATTCTGGACCAAGATTGATGACGTCCAGAATAAAAAGTAAACTGTTTTTTCCCAGGATTCCTTTCTCTCCAAATATCCTGTATATTAAACTCATCTACCATTTTAAAGAAAATATCAGATATTGTTCCTCTAATTCTTTTTCTATTCTTTCCACATTTATAATCTAGATTATTATCCACAATTGCATTATAGTCACCCATTATACAAATGCTATCATGTTCAAATTGGCTAATAATGTTGTAGAGTTTTTTATAGAAATGTTTTTGCCCCTCATTCGGGGCATAAATTCCAACCAAAAGAATTTTGGTTTTATTCAAAATTACTTCCACAATTAGACTTCTGCCATCTTCGTCCTTATAAATTTGCTTAGCCACAATTTCTTGTTTAATATATACTACCACACCTCCTTTCTTATATTGCGAAAGTGCTGCGAACATATTCCCCAATTTGGGACAATTTAATAAGTATTGATGTTGTTTTTTAATGTGGACTTCTTGTAACATTATTATATCTAAATTCATCTTATTGAGCCTATTGAAAAACTTCTTCCTTTTTGTTGGAGAGTTGAGGCCATTAACGTTGATAGATATAGATTCAATATCTCCAGGCACTGCCACGTCCACTATCCAGACTTTTTTGTCTTTCTTATCGACAATTGTTAAGTCTGGGGTGTTATGTTGCAGGTGCTTGTCTGTTTGAATTCTGAAGTCCCAGAGCAGTTTAATTTTATCATTTTCTATGACTTTCTCTATTTTATGGTCCCACCAGTTTTTGCTTACAGGCAAATGATATTTTTTGCAGATCTTCCAATGCACCATTGTTGCTACTCTGTCATGCCGCTGCTTGTAATCAGTCTGTGCAATCTTCTTGCAACAGCTTACCAAGTGGTCCACTGTTTCTTCAGCTTCTTTGCATAGGCGGCACTTACTGTCTTTTGCTGTCTTCTCAATTTTGACTTTGTATGCATTTGTCCTTAAGGCTTGGTCTGTGCAGCCAGAATTAGTCCCTCGGTCTCTTTCTTCAATTTTCCTGCTCTTAGCCATTGCCAGGTTTTATTATTATCTGCTTTCCCAGCTATTTTTTTCATGTATTGGCAATGTAGTGCTTTGTCTTCCCATGCCTCTATTCTGTTCTTCATTTGGTCTTTCTTGTAGGCCAGTTTGGTCTCTCCAGTAGTCAGTAAGCCTTCCTGATATACTGATTTCAGTGCATCTTCATCATTGTTCTTCAGATATTCTTCCAAAGCCATTTTTTCTTCTTCAACCATATGATGTACTTGTAGCATTCCACGCCCACCTATTTGCCTTGGTAGATAAAGTCTATCAATGTCACTGCGTGGATGAAGGGCATGATTCATTGTCATTATTTTTCTGGTCTGCCTATCCATTGCTTTTAGTTCTGCTTGAGTCCAGTCCACTATTCCAGCTGTGTACCTAATGACTGGGATTGCCCAGGTGTTGATTGCCTTTATGGTATTAATTATTATTATTAATTATTATTAATAATTATTATTATTATTAATTATTATTATTATTATTATTATTATTATGCATTCTGGCTCTCAGTTCTTCCCAACTGTGAAGTGAAACACTTTGTCACAACCTTTGGAATTTGATAGCTTGTTTCTGGTTTGAAACAAAACATTTTTGTGCAGTACCAGTCAATTATAAACAGTTGGTTATAAAACATGGAGGAAATTCTTGTTATGGGATTGTCTTTCATCAATATTCTGCTTTATATTTTACAAACCTGTGAGACAAAAATGTTAAAAACTCATTTTATTAAGTTTATAGGTATGTTTAGGATGCAACAATCTTCAAAGTTGCATTGGAATCTTAAGGAAAGCAAACCAGATTTTTTTTCTATCTTCATACAGAACAAATAAGAGATTTTGCTACACTAAAACCATTTTACATGGCATGGTGATCGTTTTAAATACCGAATCATCTTCCATTTTTTTAAGATCTCAGCAGGTGGCAGCACCCTAGCTAGCCTTTGCTCAATCCAAAAAATGAATTAAGAGTTATATCGGAATTAATATGAATGGGAGACCACAAGGACATTTCAGGGATAGAGATTAGGCTTGGAACATGAAAAAGGTATATCAGAAAACAGCAAAGGGAAACCAATTCCACGTTGCTGAAAAAAAATGCTTGAATAACCATTGAAAAATTGTGTTTCTGCAGGTTGTTTGTCTTTTTTTTTAACAAACTGTATCTGTATTTTTATATTGTTTTAATAACAGAAGTAGCTTTACTGAAATCATATATTGGATCAAACACGGGGTGTGCATTTCTTGCGAACAAATAAATAAAATATTATTTTTCACATTATCTGAATCTGGTCAAACTGCCTGTGTGTGTGCATAGGTGTGTACATGCTTGTGTATGTCTGTATGGATATGAGTTGCGTGCATGTGATTTTAAGTATATGTCTGGTTATATGGTGCAATCTTGTTTCTTACAGTTCTGGTCCAAAAGAAACTCCAGTGTTAGCTCTGTTGAACAGCATGCAGAGATGGTTATATTAGTAAACCGGAAGGAAGGAAGGAAGGAAGGAAGGAAGGAAGGAAGGAAGGAAGGAAGGAAGGAAGGAAGGAAGGAAGGAAGGAAGGAAGGAGGGAGGAGGGAGGGAGGGAGGAGGGAGGGAGGGAGGAGAGGAGGGAATGGAGGGAGGGAGGGAGGGGGAGGGAGGGAGGGAGGGAGGGAGGGAGGGAGAAGGAAGGAAGGAGGAAGGAAGGAAGGAAGGAAGGAAGGAAGGAAGGAAGGAAGGAAGGAAGGAAGGAAGGAAGGAAGGAAGGAGAAACTTACATCAGTGATAGTGTTCAGAGCAGTATCTGCACCAATGCTGAAATCAGAACCAGGTACATTGTTGGATACGGTTGCAGGAACCATAACCATGGGGATACAGAACGCTTCATATTTCTCCCGGGCTGAAGAAAGCTCCAAGAGTCCCAGGTATGCCTGATGGTCACATACAGCAATTATGTAAAATTAAAGGAAAGGAAAACAAAACTTAGATTGCAGCAACAGGTAATGCAATGCAGGTGGGGATTTACAGCCAGGCTGTCTCTCTATAGACACACACAAATGCTGGTGACAGATGGTACAGTATTGATCTCTTTCAGGGAATCAGAGATGATTTGAAAGAGGGATCACAGCTCATGAGTATACGTTATCCTGCCTTTTATCTCTGTTAATCAGTCTTTTGGCACTTTTTCAAAACTTGGTTTGACTTCAGGCAGATGTTCCTTGTAAAAGGAAAACAGTGCCCTGCACCATGAGAATGGATGCTTTTTTCAATCTTTTTCCCATCTCTTAATATTTACCATCCATTTACATTAGAGAGTCACCAGGAAGACCTCAGCAATATATAAAGAATGATATATGTTACAATATTTAATAAAAAAACAAGCAAACACAAACTACTTTAAAACGTTTAGGGTAAATACTAAATATTTCTTCAAGTTCACCTGCAGAATATATAATATAACAGTAGAGAAAAAGTAAATCTTATTCTCTCTTATTTGCTACATCTATATACTGTACATTAGTTTAAACTATGAATAATGCCAAATTACCAGCAAGAATTTAGAAGATGGGCGGAAACAAAATTATATACCTCAAAGCCACCAATGACAAGAAGGGCATTGATGTTATAAGCATGCATGTGTTCTGCAATCTTCTCCAAATACTTTCCAGGAAGTGTACTAAAATACATTTTTAAAACAACACAATCAGGAATGTATGTGTGGTAAAATTAAATATACATTTAATTTCTCATCTCATTTAATTGTGCTCACCTGGGGCACAGATATACATTGCAAAGGATATAACTGGTTTTAAAATTATTCTAAAATGTTTTTGTTTTAACTGTAGTATATATTTTTTAAATATACACCCAGTCATGAATTGAGATGGGCAGCTACAGAAAGGAAGGAAGGAAGGAAGGAAGGAAGGAAGGAAGGAAGGAAGGAAGGGAGGGAGGGAGGGAGGGAGGGAGGGAGGGAGGATGGATGGAAGGAAGGAAGGAAGGAAGGAAGGAAGGAAGGAAGGAAGGAAGGCAGGGAGGGAGGGAGGGAGGGAGGGAGGGAGAAAGGGCCAAATTTACACTTACATTTCCCTTTAATCAGCTAGTGATTAAATCTGTTCTGTACAACTGTATGGTAATTTCAGGGTATGTGCACTATTGCCTCTATATGATTTCTAGATAGATAATATATCATACTGTTGAATTACCGTTTGGTGCCAAGTATTGATCCTCCTTGGCCAGTCCAACCTCCAACATCTCCCCACTTGATTTCTTTAATCTGTAAGTCAGAACCACAAAAAGATGGATTGAGTAAATGATGTTTATATTACTGACATAACTTAAGATATAAGTGTTTCTTCAAAAATCAAACTTAAGCAGAGAAACTATGTCACTTGAGCCAAAGATGTCATGAAGTGTGATGTAAATCCATCATGATGCATTTACCATGGTTTGCCTCAAATACAACTCTTAATTTGTTCATTGTACAAGTATATATGACATAACTTAAGATATAAGTGTTTCTACAAAAATCAAACTTAAGCATAGAAGCTATATCATTTGAGTCAAAGATGTCATGAAGTGCCATGTAAATCCATCATGATGCATTTACCATGGTTTGCCTCAAATACAACTTTTAATTTGTTCATTGTACAAGTATATATGCAATTTCCAGTACATACTAAACTCCTCTGGCCAAACATCAAATCTAAAAAATCCTTAACTCAGTGACAGCTTAAGCAAAGCACAAAGGGGGGGGGGGAAGGGTTATAAAGCTGCTTAGTTTATAGGATTCTAAACCAAACAGTGGCTTTTAATTAAATTGGGGCACATGGAAAAGCTAAGAAGTCCAGATCAATTGCACAAAAGGATATATGCCTTTACTCTGAAAAACAGAGCAAAACTGAGACAAATCGGACAGTCTGGTGAGAGACTCTGCCACTACCTCAGGTAACTTTAAATAGTTTGGTTAAGAACAAAACATGCCAACAGAATACTTTTCAGATTAGCTGGAATTAAAAAACTAGAATCTTTTAAGTTTCCTGAACATCAATCACCATTTGTGCCCAAAATAAGATTGGATCAGAAATCTCAAGGACTTTGGGATTAAATCCTGCAGTTCTCATAATTGTCACAATGTAATAAAGGGATGGAGAAAAGTTATAATGAAACAACTAAACCACTATAATAGTTAACTGTTTGGGTTGGCAATCGGCTTTCTTTTAAACTGAAGTTATTTTAAGGCTTTGTAAATCTGTTGGAGCAGATGTCTTAGGACAGAATCCGCCCTCTGCATTTCATGTCATAAACACCTTCTCAAAGGAAAATACTAAAACCCAACGTGACAACAGATCCTGTGACAACTGGCCTTTGTCTGTTGCTACTCAGCTGGAATTCTTATCTCCATGTAATGCAATCACCCTTCACTGTTCTTGTAAAATCAAGATCACTCGGCAGCTGAACAATATACAGAATCTGATTATAAAGATTTCTCACGAAGCACTTGGGAAGCAAACGTTTCTTCATAAATAAGGGAAAACATAAAATTAGGATTGTTGTTGTTAATTGCGAAGTCGTGTCCGACCCGTCGCGACCCCATGGACAATGTTCCTCCAGTCTTCCTGTCCTCTACCATCTTCTGGAGTCCATTTAAATTCACACCTACTGCTTCAGTGACTCCATCCAGCCATCTCATTCTCTGCCGTCCCCTTCTTCTATTGCCCTCAATCTTTCCCAACATTAGGCTCTTCTCCAGTGAATCCTTCCTTCTCATTAGGTGGCCAAAGTACTTAAAATTAGGATAGAATTATATAAAAACTAAATGAAAATGGGCTACATCTCTTTACAGTATCTTCCAACCTCATTGTTCTTATGTTGCAGCCTTTCCCAACTTGAGGTTTTCCATGATGCAATGGACCACAGTTTCCCAACCCATGGATGTTAAAACCCAGAACATATGGAGGGGAAAAGGTAATAAAGGTCATAAAATATCAATATCGTTACCTTCTCTTAAGATATCAGTTATGTCCAATTAAGAATACTGCTACCTCTCGCTCTTCTGCAGAGGGACATTAGTTATTGTAGAATAGAATAGAATAGAACAGAACAGAACAGAACAGAACAGAACAGAATAGAATAGAATAGAATGGGGCGGGGCGGGATAGGATAGGATAGGATAGGAAAGGATAGAATAGAGTAGAGTAGAGTAGAGTAGAGTAGAGTAGAATAGAATAGAATAGAATAGAATAGAATAGAATAGAATAGAATAGAATAGAATAGAATAGAATAGAATAGAATAGAATGGGGCGGGGCGGGGCGGGATAGGATAGGATAGGAAAGGATAGAATAGAGTAGAGTGGAGTAGAGTAGAGTAGAGTAGAGTAGAGTAGAGTAGAGTAGAGTAGAGTAGAGTAGAGTAGAGTAGAGTAGAGTAGAATAGAATAGAATAGAATAGAATAGAATAGAATAGAATAGAATAGAATAGAATAGAACAGAACAGAACAGAATAGGACCTTGAAGATATTCTAGTCCAAGCCCCTGTTCAAGCAGGAGAACATATACCATTTCAGACAAGTGATTGCCTAATCTCTTCTTAAAAACCTCCAATGATGGATCACCCATGATTTCTGAAAGCAAGCTATTCCACTGGTTAGTTGTCCTCACTGTTAGGAAGTTTCTCCTTAATTCCAGGTTGCTTTTCTCTTTGGCCAGGATTTTGGTAAGATTATAATGATAACTCTTATGATTTCTACCTAAAAAGTAAAGATGAAGGTTCCCTTGACTCCTCAAATCTTTATGGCTATGTAGATATAGCCATCCGGTTTTCCTGGCAACCATATGGAAATGTCATTGCCACCTTCTCCAAAACATGGCTAAACCAATTCATGGCAGCATGACTCTCTTAATCTTAGAGGTCTTCTGCCAGGAGATTAGTAGGGTTCATTGGACAGTTGGTTGGTCACTACCAGAAAAGATTGCTGGCCTCAATGGGCCAGGGGGCCCAATCCAGAAGACACTGTTTATGTTCCTATAAGTTTTCATCTATCTTTCAACCCTGGCATAGCCTGAGGAATGGGATTTACCATCCAAGTTCTAATGTAGCACCTGAACTTAGGCAAGACTTGGCAAGTGTATCTTCCTGTTGAGACTATTTCCATAAAATTGTGACAACAGACAAACTTAGGACATACTGACCTGCCCTCTAGAAAAGCCTTCAAAGCCATCAGTGACAGCTAACATTTTGTGTCCTTCAGTGATTCCAAGTCTCACTGCAGAACGGACAGCAGCATTCATCCCAGCCGCTGGAGCACCCACATTTAGGATAGCGACAGTAAAATTGCTCTGCAGAAGAAGTGACAAGGTTTTTGGAATACAGAAGAACTCACAAGGCACAGAAGGATGACTTTAGAATAAAAAAATGAATTCAGACATTTTAAACAATTCCTGGTGTAAGCAATTAAAAACAGTCTCCCAATTTTAGAACCCCTGTTTTTTTTTTAAAAAAAAATAGAGTTAATATAATAATCCCATTACCTCTACATTAATTTTATAATAATCCCATTACCTCTACATTAATTTCTGTTTGAAGAAGGCTCTAACTACCTAAACTTTATTTTAGAAAACCAGGAAAATATGCAATGTAACACAATTGATTTGAATGCCAGTGTTGATTTTAATCTAGCTAATACACACATACAAAAGAAGAAATACATTTTCTTAAAATAAAATAAATAAATATCAAAAGCATGGCTGGCTCATAAATTCTGGGAATTGAAGTCCACGAGTCATAAAAGAGCCAAGGTTACCTACCCCTGTTCTAAACTGTGCCAAACTTCTTTCTTATCTGTGGCAGACCATGGATGTCAAAGTTCAGATACCCAATGAAATCCCTATGTTCATATACAAAATTAATTTATCTGATCCATCAGTCAGACAACTGTATCATGGAAATCTAATCTTTTATCTATATCCCTGCCTTCTTAATATTCTTAATCCTCAGCGATACACTTTTTAAATGTAAAGTATTAATTAGCTATGATACAAATCTACAAAGTTCCAAAAAATAAGGTGATCTCTAAATACATGTTTTAAAAGTTCCAGACACAACCAGATAAAAAAATTAGCAAGTTAAGTCAGTTTCAGTAATACCCAAATTTTGATTCAGTGGACTTTCTTAAATATAGAAAGGTATACCCCAAACCTAAAACTAGTCTATCAAAACAATGTTTCGCTGTAGTTTTTCCAAACTCTTAATCTGTTTCCTTTTCTGACATAATTTCAAATGATTAGCAAGCAAACTAAAATGAGAAATAACACAAAAAACGCAAGGACTTTATGAAGTGTACCTTAGGTAGTTCGTCTTCTGGCTTTTTGTTAGACAGGAGCTTGTAGGTATTCAAGTTGTTGGTAAAACTCCTATAAAAACAATTTCCATTCTTTTCATAACATTACTGGAAAACATAGTGGGACTATACTGTTATGACAAAACAAAAGAGTGCCTTGATATAGATCTGCTAAGTAAATAAGCAGATAGTTAAACAAACAATGAGCAAATATAATAATTAGTCTGTTTTATTTTTTTACATTTTTGCCATCCTTCCCCAGCCTAATATTCTACAAATGGACTGAGCCTCAAAATGATATCCCTCTTCCAGAAGACTTCTATTTCTGCAGGTGATAAATGCCATCACGTAATTTCCCATGACTTTTTTTAAAAAAAAAATAATATTTATATTCACATGTTGCAATAGGTTAATAAAAAGTAAATGAAATGTCCCAAAATCTTATGTGGCAAAACACATAACTCTTGTGAAATTTTGCCTGTCTCATCTTGTAGCCAACCATTTTTTATTCAAAAAAATTATAAGAAAAAGTATCCCTTTGCAATAAAACTGGGAGGTGGGGATAGAGAGAACTTTTTACCTTGTACAGAGCCATTGACAGCAAGAATTATAACATTTTGAAACCTGGCAATAGCAATTTCACATCCCATACTTTAAAAAAAAACAAAAGCCTCTAGATATCCTTAGTGTATGTGAGCTTCATGGTACCAATCTGGAGACATTTCAGACTCCTTTAAGTCTTGGGAAAAATCCAGATTTGGGAAAAATCCAGATTCAGTAATACTGTATACTTATGCTTCAGAATATATTTCTTTCTTTCTTTTTCAAAGCAATTTCCACTGCTTTAACTAGTGGCATTTCAAAAGCAATAGCATAGCACTTAGACTTATAGACCACTTCATAGTGCTTTGACAGTCCTCTCTAAGTGGTTCACAGAGTCAACATATCGCCCCCAACAGTCTGGGTCTTCATTTTACCAATCTCGGAAGGATGGAAGACTGAGTCAACCTTGAATCATTGAGAATTGAACTGCCAAACTGCTGGCAGTCAGCAGAATTATCCTGCACTATTGCATTCTAACCACTGTGCCACCACAGCTCATAAGATCATGGTTTCTCCATTATCTTCTGGTTTAGGCACAATTCAAGACCTAAGGTTTTATCCTAGTTGAGTAGAATTTTATCCCACGTGGATAGAACTGAGAAATTATTAGGAAGAGAAACTATTTTTCCCATGATTACCTACAAGCAGAAGCCTTTGATATAATTATAATTAGTATATCTTCCCAAGATGGTGGCACCTTGCTTGTCTGAGCCTGCGTCAGCTCTCAAAAATATCTTATCTATAATTAACCATCACTGTTCAATGGAAACCAACCCAACAATTTCTTCCAGAAGATGAAAAAAATAATAATGTTGCACCTTCCGCGGAGTTCTACTGCATCTTTGAATCTTCTTTCGTCCATAGCTTTCTGTACATCTTGAGTCTTTGGAATTAGGGAAAACAAAACAAATCATATGTAAGGCAAGAATAATGTCTCTCAAAGCAAGCTCCAAGAGTAGAAAGTGGATGGGCTATCATTGCACTTCCACAAATGGGATCATGTAATTGAATTTTAAATGATTTTGGTGGAATTAGAATGAAATTTTATATACATTTATCCCAGAGCAAAAACCCCTTATAATAATCAGTCCTATTCAAGGCTATACCTAACACTATAGACATATTACCACAACGGAGGCCAAAATTTCAGATGCTAAATGAGGTGTTTTGCTCCATTTTATGATCTTTCCTGCCACAGTTGTTAAGTGAATCTCTGCAGTCATTAAGTTAGTATCGCAATTGTTAAATGAATCTGGCTTTCCCACTGACTTTACTTATCAGAAGGTCACAAAAAGTGACCACACGTCCCCAGGACACTACAACCATCATAAATAAGAACCAGTTACCAAGCATCCAGATCTTTATCATATGACCATGGGCTGATGTAACAGTTGTAAATGTGAAAAAAAATGTGAAAAGTCAGTTTTCCAATGTCATTGTAAGTTTGAATGGTCACCAAACAAATGGTTATAAGTTGAGGACTACCTGTAATAAAAATGTTGTCTTATTAGCAACCTAGATGGTCTTACACATGTAGCTGTTAATTTGACTCATTCTTTAATGAATTATTTTGACAAACAGCCATGGCTCAATATTTTTGTAAATTGGGACTGATATTTAAGTAGAAAAACAAACATAAAAGGCAGATTCTCTGAAAGTATGTATTAATATATTTCATCCTAAGGAGTACTTCTGTGTAGTTTTACTGTGGAAGCTTGGAGCACCAAGAATGATTTCAGCTACTCTATATTCCCATGATGTAATAAGTGCTCATGAGAGTATACACATACTATGGTATGCCAAAACAAACAGGAAGGACAAGGCCTAAGATAAACAAACTCCTTTATCAAAGTCCTCTGGGTTATCACAATCCAATACCCCAGTTTGCTATCAAACTCCCAGCAGCCATTTGACCCAATTATTCCTACTGCAAGACTGACTGGAATCGATGGTCCACAGTGTTGATAAGCATTTCTCTTATGTCACTGCAAGTGTTCCAGCTGACAACAGACTATTGATTGCTAGATCATACTAGCAAATGAATGTAGCCACTTCCTTGCAGAAACTCACCATTTGAACACACTCCATTAAAGGCAGGCGGACAGCCTGGTTCCCGGATAAGGTCACCACACAAGCAGGTGTTTCAGGGGTGGCTTCCAGAAGGGCAAGGACAGCCTCTACTCCCATACGGCTGGCCTGTTAAAAAAGCAAGAACTGTTGGGTCTTTTATGGGCATTAGAATATCTAGTAGTACAGTGATGGCAAACCTTTTAGAGAACAAGTGCCCAAAAACTGCCCTGCTCCCCTGCCCCCCTCGCTCTGCCCCCTGCTCTGCCCCCCCCCACAGGGCCACTCACCACAGATCGCCCAGGCAGCTTTGCAGCGCCATGGTGGCCACGCCCTCCACCTGAACCTCATAGCATCATCTGCACGTGATGGGGCACGAGGGCGGAGTCTTGCCCCTGCTGCCTGGCTGCCATGTGCTTGGCTATGCTGCTCCGCGTAGGCCGCACCTGGAGGAGACTTTCCTCCAGGCAGGCTGCTGGTCAGGAGGAGGATGTGGGGGGAGGCAGGGCTGGGGCAACTACTTGCGTGCCAGAGAGAGGGCTCTGAGTGCCACCTCTGGCCATAAGTTCACCACCACTGCAGTAGTAGATGGTTTTGAAGCATGCCAATGGTCCCCTGTGAAACCCACCTTAAAAAGTATCAGTTCTATAAAATTGAGAAGAGAGGGAGATCAATTATAATATTATCAGCAGAGAATCTAGTGGGTCTTTAAAGGCTCGGAAACCTTCAAGAGAACAAAGTATTTGCTTTATGATACTAGAGTTGACTAAGTGCTTGTTTAGTTACATTAAATATGTCTCTTTAAAGAAGCTAGATTTGAACGATATCTAGAAGGGAGATACCCCCAAATCTTCCGTCTATTCCTAGTATTTCCCTGTTTTGTAGCTCATCCAATTTCTTGAAGCTCTCAGTCTTACCCAACTATGGGGGTTCACTCTGATTTTCTAGGTCATTGTATGGGCCTCTATGTACACATATTAGAGTCAAATAAAGATGGAAGCTAAGCAACCCCAAATTGCAACCAATCCCTCTACTTTAGGCTCTGCCTCTACCTCTCTTTCCTTGTGACTTTTTTTGGGAATGAACCACTTCTGGATCACTTTAGACTGACTATTCTGGTGTGATGACTAAAAAAATCTGAATAGATTTGAAAGTATAATTTGCCTAAGAGACTTTTTACTATTCCCATTTCCTTTACTTCAGTTTAAATTGAGCACCTTTAACTTTTGTAGGATAATTATCTAACTATAGAAATTGGAAAGACTTACCATAGTTTTATTTCTCCAAAAGAAGACAATTTCCCCAGATTTATATATTAAAGGGAAGTAGAAATTAAAATATTTATCTACATTGTTTTTAGGGATGGTTCTTCCCCTCTGTTTTTATTATTTTTTAATAATTATAAATAATAATGGAGATTTTGCTATTAAGTTCAAAATAAGGAAGGAAGGAAGGGAGGGAGGGAGGGAGGGAGGGAGGGAGGGAGGGAGGGAGGACCTTTCCAACTTTGTCTAGCAACTGCATGGCTGAATAGAAATTTAACCATATGACCTAAGTTCAAACATTTTTCCATTAATTCCTACCATAGCTCAAAGGATAGAACAAGCAAGAAAAATTAAGTAATGCTATCTAAAACTAGGTTGTGGTGGAAGGCTATTCTTCTTCGGATACTCAGAAACAAATTGGTTAACTTCACTCACCAAAATCCGATCAAAAGCAGAGGGTGTGCCTCCTCGTTGCACATGGCCAAGGATGGTTACCCGTGTGTCAAACCCCAACCGCTTCACTACAAGCTGCAAAAGAAGACCAAAGGTGAACCCAAAGAAGAAGATGGATTAGGAGTTGCAGCAAGTGTGCAGATATTTTTCTTACATGAGCACTGAGCAGAAGATCTAATGTAAGCCTTGAAAAATGCCTTTTGCAAATTCAGTTATAATGCTAATTCTTCCACCATCAAATTTAAGTCTCTGGGGCTCTTCTCTGTCTGTTAGGGAATGTCCTCTGATAGGACCCCAGAAATGGACTTTTTCAGTTGCAGCAATCCACTCCCTTCCAAAGATCCAGCTACTCCAACTCTACTAGCATTCTGAAAAGCCTTACACACAGATCAAAGTTCTCCAAAATGGTCAATGTTGATCCCCACGGGTTGATGGGACCAGTCAAGCTATCATTGCTGCTATGTATATTTTATTAATTAAATAATATTTATTAAATTATTTGCATATTATAAATGTTTGGGGGTTGATGAAGAATCTGAAACTTTGTGAAGGGTTAAATGAGCTGAAAAGGTTTTTTGGGGGGGTGTCTCTGCTCTATATGTAATTATTTGTTGCTTTTTTATTGATTTTTAAATTTCTGTCATGACTCAAAGTCGCTACTTGAGAAACAAATGGTGACATAAATTGAAATAATGATAAATAAATAAGCTATCCAAACTAGTTTACATCCTTTTATAGCAGTTCTGATTTGTTGTATGGCTGCAATCCACAAATTCAGTGGAAAAGTTTGTTTTGACAAGAGTTGCTGATAGCTATCATGTTTGTAAAACACCAGATCAATTTTGTGTAATGAGCTTTTAATCTGATGTTTACTAACAAACCACAAAAAGAAAACAAATTGAGAATGGTATGTTTAAAGCAACAAAAAGACTGAAATACTTTCCAGGCAGATTTTAATGCCGCTGACAAAAAAGCAAAAACAGAGGGAGTCAAGCATAGAACAACTGAAACTGAACCATGCTGCATTAAAAATAAAATAAGGGCAAATTACACAATATTTCAATCATAACCTTTAAAGAATGTGTGATAAAATAAATTTCCATGAATGTCCAGTTAAGAAAGGAAAGAAAAGGATCCTACATCAATTCCTGTTAAATATATTTTGAACCAACTGTAGCCTTGCCTTTTAAAATGTTTATTTTTTTTTAAGTAAAGCTAGTGACTTCAGCTAAAGAAAAGAGGAAGGTTATAGAACTGGGTATCTAATCTGTGCAGATGGCTATATTTCATCAAAGGCTGAATTTTCTAAGAGTTGGTAATTTCACTACCTGGATAAATATAAATGACCATGAATCAAGTGGAATTTGCTACTGTAAAAACTGAGGCATTATCTGTCTTGATTTGTGTTTTTATATCAACACAGTAGTAGAACCAAAGTTTATTCATTTATTTTATTTCTTTATATCATAAATTTAGAAAACCATCCATCTCAATTCAGAGTGACTCATCCCACATCTTGATCACAAAAAAGCTTTAAGGATCAAATGTGTTCCCCAGGCTTCCAACAAAAACAGACGAAACAGTGGCAGTTTTTAGAAAGCTGCACTTTTTTCAACTGACTATCGCATGTGAAACATGCTTATAGACTGACACAGTGAGCAGACTGACACAGTGACATTTCCCACATAGTAGACGGGGGAACCTACACTAGAACTCAAATTAAAGCATCTGCAGAATCAAGCTTTATCAATATTGCTGAACATTCTACACAGCAGATATTTGTTGAATATGTATTATTTAGTTTAACACAGAAGCTAATAACATGAAAGCAAATTTTCTACAGTATGTATGTGTGATTTTCAAAGGAAATCTTGATTGTAACAGTACTTAACAAAGACTGCATTTTAATTACAGGATTCAATATTCAGCAGATGTCATGATGGACAGCTATATACTTACATCCTTAACTTGTTCAGAAGTGATAGCCTTGTTGAAGGAATCAATTGCTCCTTCTGACACAATTATAATATTCAACCTTTTCTTTCGGGCACGGTTCTAGGGTGAAAGAAATTTAAGACAGATCAGTAAAGCTACAGAAACTGGAATAAACAGTGGAAGATTGAATTCTGAACATAGCTAGAAAACCTTTTATTTACTGCATGAGATACAAATATTCTAAATATGCATATAAGGAATTTTGGGTCAGGAATTCTGGGAATTGAAGTCCACAAGTCATAAAAGCGCTCTCCTAACAAGTTGAAAGAGAACAGCCCGTAGTTTTCAGAAATAAATTCTGCCATTAAAATGAATTTTTGATGCTTTAGTTTGGGGGGAAAGATGTCAACAAGCCCAGTGACATTTTTGTGCATCTGTGCTATTTGAGCAAACCAACTTCCTGCTTTCAACGGTAATTTAACCATATTGTTTTGCAAGCTGCCTAGAGCCATTAAAGGAATGGCCACATTTTCTTAGTTAAAAATAATTGGACTGCAGCATGCAGCATGGGGCTACCCTCCATTATAGTGCTCCATTTTTAGAAAAGGAACACAAGAAAGATAATCTAAGAATGCCAAATGGAACAGCTTTCACAGGTCATGTTGTCCATTTTGGGAAGTTACTGTTTAGAGCAGGAGTAGGCAACCTTGGCTCTTTTATGACTCGTGGACTTCAACTCCCAGAATTCCTAAGCCAGCATAGCTCAGCTTGGAAACCTCTCCCTTTCCCCTCAGCATGGTTGGCTCAGGAATACTGGGAGTTGAAGTGCACAAGTCATAAAAGAGCCAAGGTTGCCTACCCCTGGTTTACAGACTAGAAATTTGGGTTGTTTGTGCTCAGTTTTCCCCAGGGATCTGATAATCTCCTAAGGAAGCCCAAAGCTGAGAAGGATTACCTCAGAAAGCCTAGCACACATGTGATCTTCCCATCCTTCCTCAGGTGGATATTCAGGGATAAATACATAGTCTGCACCGCAGGCTAAAGCACTAACAAGTGCCAGATACCTAGGGCAAAGAAGAAATTCCCAATCAATATCTGAAGTGTGCACCACAACAATGTTTTACTAAAAATGGTTTATCTTGCTGATACATACCCACAGTGTCTTCCCATCACTTCTAGGACGAAGGTCCTCTGATGGCTACAGAAATCACAATATAGATCAACAACAAAACAAACAGTAAGATACTATCCAAATGTACAAAACCTGAGTTTGGCATTAAGTGGATGACTCCTATGGTTATTTTTTGTTTCTTTGTTTATTTCTTGTTTCCTTCTCACCCTCTCTCAGATGGACTTTCCTTAATTCATGGTCTAGCTGGCAACAAGGTCTATAGTATCATTTTATAAGAAATACCCAAGTATTTTTTTCTCATACTTCTCCACAATTATTACTGGAAACCACCACATCACTCTAAAGTTTAAGAAAAAGTTATTATTTACAAGGGGCTGCATGTTATTCTTTATGTTTGCTATTACCATTCAATTATGGATACTACCAGAACCCAAAAGAAGATTTGCACAATTTTTTTTCAAACTTTTTTTTCAAACTATTGCCTTGCAGAACTATGCAATAGACAGTGAAAGCACGAGAAAAGGAGAGTCCAGGTTCTTCCTTTCCCTGTCATATATTTGTGTGCCACATTCTTATTGCAGCACCTCTCTAGTGATGTGACAAATTCCACTGAAAGAGATGAAAAGGCTCAGCTGCTGTTTTTAGGAATTCATGCATGCCTTCCAAGGCTCATTTTCCATCACTCCCTGAGCCAGCCAAAGGTTGCAAACTTCCAAAGAGCTGCTTCCAGCTCTTTGACAACAACAGGATTTGTGCAAAAGCTCAGGTTGAATGACATGCTAAGCCATGGTGTAAGATCATGAAGATTAGATAATAAACTACAGTGTGATCCTGGCATGCTCAACAAGGTAGTTTTTTATGGATGAAATGCAAGAAGGAAGCACCCATTTTTACTGAGCAGAAAAATTCTCCCAAATTTTCCTTTCTTTACTAGTTTCCATTCAGCTAAATGCAAAGGGATGTTTGCCTTTAAAATTCCTTTCAAAGAAGACAATACGGAATTTCCTTCTATTAAGTTCATGATAAAATTCTAAGGGGATGTTTATGATTAATTAAATAATATCTGTATGGAGAATCTGCACTCTCCCTTCCACACTCCTTCAATGCCAGGAGAACACATCATAGGGGGAAAAATCCTCCCATTAAGCTTTTTAAGATTATTGGGTATAAAAAAGCTTGGAAGGGCATCTGCTTGATTGGTAAACATTTAATAATAAAAAAACACAGTAATACTAGCTGTAGCATCCGTCATGATACCAAGTATGGAACAAACTCCTAAATGTCATAAAGAGACATATCTGGGAGACAAAAAGCAACTATCTTGACAATAAGGTTAGGAAACAAGTGTTTTTCTCAAGAACAAATTTCTATACAGATAGTCCTCAACTTACGAAACCCAATTGAGTTCAAAATTGTTGTTGCTAAGTGAGATATTTGTTAAGTGAATTCTGCCCCATTTTATGGCTTTTCTTGCCACAGTTGTTATGAATCATTGCAGTTGTTAAGTTGTTAAGTGAATCCAGCTTTCCGCTGACTTTGCTTGTCAGAGGATTACAAAAGGTGATCCCATGATCCCAGAACACTCAACTGTCATAAATATGAGTCAGTTCAAGTGTCTGAATTTTGATCATGTGATCATGGGGATGCAATGGTTGTAAATGTGGTAAAACAGTCATAAGACACTTTTTCTAGTGCTGCCATAACTTTGAACAGTCACTAAATAAATTGTTGTAAGTAATAGACCACCTGTACAGCATTTCCATGTAGCTATTTATGAAGCATCTGAAATAAAGGAAGAATTTTCTTATGTCAGGGAATTATATATTGACATGTACTGCATCTTTTTTCACTCTTTTTGGCTTTCAGCAGTTTTTTTTTTAATTAGTTGTTGTGGTTCACTGCAAAAAGTTCCAGGTTGCACTAACCATAATTTGGTCTTTTGAGGTACAATAAGCCATTGTTAGCTTTAAAAAAGAAATAAATGCTTCCAAAGGTGTGATGGAGCAGGAATGGGCAAAAAAAGTAGTTTTTTGCTGTCCACATGGAGAACCTTAAATGGATTTCAGAGACGCTCAGAAGCTAAATCAAAAAGTATGCTATGATAGACCGCAGTAGCCCATAATACAAATTATTATTACAGTATGGAATATCCTATCTCAAAAATGTTAATATGCATTATATCTTCCAGAAAAGACTGAGAACTGTAGAAGTTCTTCAGCTATGGAGATCCATACCAATTGGTCTTCTAAAAAGTGAAAAAAAAGGGAATTTTCTAGCCAACACAAATACCTTCCCTGTCCTCTCTGGAAAAAGTGTGTGACGAAAGGCCACCAGAGTCTGGATTCATAGATTAATTTGCTTAACTACAGACTTGCTGAAGCTTGTTCACACAACACCTAACCACAGACCATAGTTTATAAAGCAAAATGAATAAATGCCTACAAGTTGTTACTCTAAATCAGCAAATTATCTTTTGGCTTAGTGCAATCTATGAAGACAACTTGTTTGTGGCAAGGTAAGTTTTGACTGCCACTGAAGACAAGGCAGAAAAAGACACAAAACCATGGTTTCATGGCACAGTTTTCTAAAGTATTGAAGTAGGAATATTATTTTTAGGAGAAAGCCTTCCTTGATATTGTAACTAGTTCCTCTTTTGGTCATAAAATATAATATAGACAATGTGGTATATGATAATTACCTCCCTTGGAATTTTAGCAGAAGATTGGAATCAATGAGATTTTGCGTTTCAGTGTAACTCTTGAACTATGGACTTTTAGCTTTTAATTGAATTTTCTATATGTCATCTCAATCTTTCTGATATTTTTCCAGTGAATAAAATACCTTTGAGCAGTAGTCATGATGGCATCCACAACTTCAATGATTCTATGCAGGGCAGAATCTGTGCCAATAGTCATGTCTGTCCCACAGAAATCATTGTCAATGGACCCAACCATTCCCACTATGTTGAGGTAAGCATAGTTCTTTACAGCTTCTTCTTCAATCTCACCTGACCAAAAAGAAAGAAAGAAAAAGAAAGAAAACAAAGTAATAATATATCCAGAAGTACCCAAGAAGAATCCCTTCTCTTTGAGTCTCATCCTTAGAACAACCTTAGTCTCAAGATATACATAATATCACTTTAGCATTGTATAGCCCTATAAGGACAAGAATATAAAAAGAAAGAAGTTAATTAGACCTTTAATTCAGAATATAAACTGTATGCTATGTCTAGAAATTTCCTTTGGGCTGTTTTTAGGAAGGATGAAAAAGTAGATTGGATGCCATAAATACCAGCCTCATTGAATATCCTTGGGAATGTCTGAGAAGCTTGGTGAATCTGAGCCACTTCTGTATGGCCCCTTACCTTGCAATTTTAACCGAGAAATGGCAAATCACAGATATTTCTCACTGTTCCATTCACAAGGAAAGGCGAATATTTCCTGAAGCCTAAAGGTAGCAACAAGCTCTTTCAGTTCCGAATGCTAGCTTCTACTACCTACATGGCGAAGCTTCACCAAAATGAGCAGTTTTCAGAGAGGAAAAAATATTCTTGTAGGCCGAAGACCTGAAGAACAAGAGAGCTTGCACAATCAGTACTGTAATGCTGGTTCAAATGCATCTTCGTAGTCATTTTTATTACCACAAATAGAGGGCGTTTTTCAGAATTGCCGTTTTCATAACTGAGAGGCAAACAGGAAGCTTAGGAGAGAGAGAGAGAGAGAGAGAGAGAGAGAGAGAGAGAGAGAGAGAGAGAGAGAGAGAGAGAGAGAGAAAAGGAAAACAAAATCTTCTGGCAACTTTCCTTTTCCTTTTTATGAGGTGAGATCTTGTACGTGCCTGTTTGGAACTCAACTACTGCAATAGCTTTCATGTGCAGAATATCACAGCTTATAAAAATAAGAAGTATTTTTTTTGGGGGGGGGAAATATGAAAGTGAGAAAAAATCTCTAGCAATTGGACAATTTCATATACACAAGAACAAGCTTTGAGACATTGTGTGGGCTCTGGGTGTTAGATATGTTTATGATGGTTCCAGTATCAAGCATTCAGCTTCCCCATTTCTTAACATCCATCCCAAAAATAGAAGTCAGCTAAAAATAACAACAAAAGTAGCCAGTTCATGTCATGCTCTCCATCCTTCTTCGAATTGAAGAGTTCTGATACTGAGGCTACCTCTCAAATCTTCTAAAAGATAAAATTGCTGGCTCTAATTCATTCTCCTGACCTACTGTATTTACATTTTTCCTTGCTTCTCCTAGAAGGTGGCTGTTTTCATTCAAGAAAAGGAATCAGTTCCTAAAATACATGAATTGAAAGGGGTCCTTTAGAACAATCCTAGATCTGAAAAAGCAATCCAAACTAATCCATCTTTGTCCAGCTTCAATTGGTTATTGATATAAAAGGAGGGATCCACAACAGGAAACCTACAGTCTCCTCCAGATCTGACACTGGAAAAAGAACTCAAAAAAAGAGGAAGTGAAGACAGAGATAAATAGATCAGGTACACTGACTTTGTTTGGCTAACAAATAAAGTGGGGAGATTAGTTCATCTAAAGATTTCACAGATAAGATGCTGGGGATCAACTACATGTAATAAAGAAATTGACACAAGTGATCAGAGGACAAGAAGAATGGAATGGAATGGAATTAGAGACCAATGACAACAGAAGCCCGGACGGAAGAAAACTGCAACAAATGAGGAAAGTATGGACTAGTGAAAGATGAAAGGGATGACTTTGTGCAATGTTGGAAGTGATCAGACTTGGCAATGGATTGAAAAACAATGAGGGGGTGAGGGGGAGTGAAAAGAGAAAGAGATAAAAATCAAAGCTATGTATCTATTCACCAGGGTGGATGATGAATCGTTTATCAATGGATGAAGAAAATATTGCAGGAAGATGCATGAAAATGTGCATAAAAGGAATTTAAAATGACTGCAAAGTACCTAAGCAGCAATATCAGAGAAGCAAATAACAGGAGCTGAGTAAGTTAAAGTGATTGTGTTACAAGCACTAGTACACAGTATGTTGACCACACTGTTGGCCACTTACTTTCTTTCCTCATTTGCAAGACGTGCTTCATTATCAATGAATCTATTCATTCATAAAAGCAAACAAAAGCAAGACATCAAGACAATGCTAGTACAGTTTACTGCATATGCCTTCAGCCAGGCAATTCAGGGACAAATTGCATGCTGTTCTGACAAGAGCGACCCATTTGAAGCACTTATGTCTGTGGCTCATACCGGAATTATGGTTTCTAAAGGATATCAATTAACTTCATGACCATTTAAGAGCACAGAATCCCTCTGTGAGAGGGATGGGAAGTTCTAAAATATGATTAGATAGATAGATAGATAGATAGATAGATAGATAGATAGATAGATAGATAGATAGATAGATAGATAGACTGACCACTAATTATTTCCAGTGAAATTGAAATGCCATGAAGCATTTCAGCACAGAAATGGAGGATGAGAAAAATTAACAGGAGGTAAAATTAAAGCCCAGAAAGAACTCATAATATTGCAGACAAAGAAACTATGTAGAGAAATGAGGTCAGCAAGATGGCTGAAAATCGGAATTGATAAAACTGATAAAAATACCCAAGCAGGGGATAATCTCTGGAAATGTAGTTGTGATCTGTAAACAAAAAAAACTTAAAGACCACAAGAAAACTGATGTATTTCCCCAAGGGGGAATAAAGATTACCAACACTAAAAGAGACATGTAAGTTTGCAGTTACACTTACTCTTAAGTGGGTACACATAGTAATTCTATGCCCAACGGTGTTGGGATCCTATTTGTGAATCTCTCTGCGTGATAGACACCACATATTTAGAAAAAATTAACACAATTGCCCAGCCTCACATAGCTTCATATATACAGCTAGAACAATTAATCAATGAAATGGCTTGCCTTCGGAAGTTGTGGGTGCTCCATCATTGGAGTCTCTCCAAAACAGAGTGGAATTGTATAGCAGGGGGTTTGAACTAGAAGACCTTCAAGGTCCCTTCCAACTCTGTCATTTGTTACAAGGACATCTGCAAATCTAATCGTTTCATCCTGTCATGCTGCTATGTATTCGTGCAATACCAAAAGATTTTTCATTATTCATTCATGTGAAGGGCCAGGAGACCCAATCTAGCATAGGATGATGGCTCAAAGCATTCCACAGAGTCCAGAGTCCAACTTTTTCATTCTCTCCACCCTATCCATTGTCTTCGTTTTCCAGACTCAGAATATGCCTGCATTCCAAACAGCTGAATTTGGGATCTTTTGCAAACAAACCGGGTCTCCAACCACCAAGGAAGGAACTTTCTTAGGATAGCTGTTCTATACTAACTAGATATCCCAGCTGTCACTAGTTTAAATTGCTTTAAGTCACAACTTGGGTTGAAAATGTAGAGCTTAGGAACCACTGCTAGATTCTCATGATTGGACAGTATCAGCACTTTGGGAAATAAAGTAATAGTATGGAAAATGCAGCTAATCCTTGAATTATGACCATAATGGAGCCTGTCCATCATAATTCATCACTCATGGCTATAAAGCAACGCAGTCATGGGGCCAACCTGATTTCACAATCTTTTTTGCAGGTGGCGGCAAACATGGTGGTCATAAAGCACGAATGCAACAGTCATTAAGCAAGCCAATGGTTTGCTATGGGTGTGATTTTGCCAAAAATTGAAAGTGAATGCCACGTTTCAGGAAAACCACCATAAAATGTGGACATGTGACTGCAGGACACTGTAAATGGCCGTAAATGCAGTCCAGTGGCCAAGCACTGGAAGTGCAGTCATGTGACCAGGAGGTGGGGTGTGAGAATATGAGGACGTCAAATCCAGTTTGTAAGTACCCCCCCCAGTAGCCCCAGTAGAATTCCAAATGGTTGCTAAGCAACCACTTGTAAGTTGATCACTACGTAGAGGTGTTCTTGTGGCATACATTGGTGATTCAGTGCTTTGACAGCCACAAGATAACCTACCATTTCTTGCCAACTCCTCTAACAGGCCATTCCACTCTCCCCGAAAGAGATTAGCACCGGTTAAGCTGCCATCTCCCCCAATCACACAAAGGTTTGTGATTCCACGTTTCACCAGATTGCAGGCTGCTTTCAAACGACCTTCGCGAGTCCGAAAAGCTTTACAGCGAGCGCTGCCAATAACAGTCCCCCCCTAAAAGACAGAAGGACAAGTTCAGCTGAGAAAAATAGATCTCATTTCAGTGGCCGTAAATCATCCATAAGCAATATTTAGAGCCCATTGGAATAAGAAAAAAAATTCTCTTTATATTACTAAATATAGGCAGATAATAAAAGTTGCTTACAATATGTGTGACAGCCTTTCACAACTAACACCCTCCCTCCCAAGATGCAGAAATTACACCTCCCACAATAGCCAGGCATGGCACTCATCTTAATCCATATTATACGTATATTACAAAGCTACGTGGAATTCCTGTTTTCAAAAATGAAAATATCTGCTCTTGTTCCACTTTCCTGGCTTTGTTGAACTTATTATTATCTTCTACCACACCCTCAGAATGTCCTGTAGATGTGTAAACACAGTAAGATTAAGGAGGCAGGAGGAAATTTAAGTGCTGGCCAAATCTTGTGAAACAGAGAATCTATATTGTGTATGATTACAATATGCCATTTCCTTTTATGATATGCTTAATTACAGCTATTGTGCTGTCACCTGCCCATAGAGGTGAAATAAAAATTTTTTGCACTGTTGGAAAATCTGAAAGACCAGGTTAGGGACAGATCATCATGGAGAAAATATATCCATGTGGTTGTTAAGAGTCAACACCAACTTGATGGCCCATAATCAATCAAACACTATACCAGCACAAAAGAAAATAGTTATATAAGTTGAAAACATTGCAGTTTTTCAAGATATTGTACTGATCCTTCAGTAGGCAGAAAAGAGCCATGGAACTGATATTCAAGAGCAGCACCCTCAATCCAAAAGCATAACAAAGCTTTGTAAAGGGTCTCATAGCTAGACAAATGAAAAGCAGCATACAAAAATACCACACTCAAGACTTGGTGCACAGTTTCTGTTGCAAGCACACTGGAAAAACTGGAGAGCAGCAGAAAACAAGAATGTCAGTAAGTCTTAATATCTATGGAGATTCTCAGTCATCCAGGTCATGGTTGTCTCAAGGGTTCCTTTTCAAAAAGCAACGGGACTGCTTGTTCCTGGAGGAGGAGGAGGAGGAGGAGGAGGAGGAGGAGGAGGAGGAGGAGGAGGAGGAGGAGGAGGAGGAGGAGGAAGAAGAAGACGAAGAAGAAGAAGAAGAAGAAGAAGAAGAAGAAGAAGAAGAAGAAGAAGAAGAAGAAGAAGAAGAAGAAGAAGAAGAAGAAGAAAAAGTTTTGCTTCTCATCCAAGAAGCTTCATCGATTCAACCGATAAAGCTTTTTGGGTGAGAAGTAAAACAACTACTACTACTACTACTACTACTACTACTACTACTACTACTACTACTACTACAACTTCTTCTTCTTCCTTCCTTCCTTCCTCCTTCTCCTTCTCCTTCTTCTTCTTGGAAAAAATAGTCCAGTTGCCTTTTGAAAAAGCACTTTTGAGTCAATAAGTCTTCTTGATCATTCAAATATGTACGTTATTTTATCTCTAGCTTCAGTCTTTTGGGAATGATTTAGTACATTATCAGGTAAATACCTTATTAACATTCTCCTTAATTTGGTACCTACCACTTGGAGGATACTTGAAACACTCTCCCATGTAACTTCAACAATATTTTCACCCCCATCAACCATACCTTGGTATCCCTGTAGGGGAAAAACAGTTTATATGAGAGAGAGGGAGGGAAGGAAGGAGGAAGAGGGAAAGAATATATAAAACATGCAAGGAGAACTTTTTTCCCAAAAAAAATGAAATTTTAAGATTACACTCTAGAAATGCAAGCAAGTACACAAACAGGAAAAATCTCAGAGAACTGTGAATTTCCTTTGCTGTCAATCACGTTCAACCATCTTTGACTCATCTTGAAAAGCACTAGGCAGCATCAGACTTCTATTGCATAGCTGCATTTGACACTAGAGGAAACCCCATGGCTATAGGTTAATTGTATCATTGCCAAAAAAAACCCTACGTGGACACCTCCATTGCTGTCAGCAGGGTTAAGCCTAACATTTTTGGTTTTCTTTTATTAAAAGCTAACATAATCCATAGTATTAAACAGTGCAAAAGTTAATAAAATCTTCAGTGCTTATACTGAAGTTCTGATCCCTGAAACTACTAATTTAACTGGGCAACTGCAGCTCATTAGAAGAGCTTTGGCCTGTTACTAGGAGACAAAATGCCAACATTAAGATTGTATCTAGGGCTCCCAGTGGTACAGGCAGGCAGCTACATGCTGTGTTACATAAAATATTTGAAGCACGTTTGTGTGTGCGTGTATGCTTGCACTCACCAACATTCTAAATTAAATGCCAAATGTCTACCAACGCTGACAAAATCTTATGTAAAACAGGAAATGTTGCAACAGGTTTCCCATTTTAACTACTAAAGAGCAGGAATTCATATAACTCAACAGAGAAAGATGGAATAGAGTAAGATTAGGAGCAAGTGTAATCATGGAAGAAAAATGTGACTTTTATTATTAAACCTGTATTTACAAACTAGACATCCGGCATGTATGCCTTGCCTGGGTAACCCCAGGAATGCCTAATCTCAGGCCAATGAAGACAGATTTTGTTACATTATCCACTTGCATTATCTGTCTACAGTAGAGCATTATCCACTATGCTCTACTGTAGACAGAAGCCATGTGATCCTAGAACAAAGGAGAAATTTCCTGGCAGTGAAAACAATTAATCAGTGGAGCAGCTTGCCTTCAGAAGTTGTGGATGCTTCTCACTTGGGGTTTTTAAGAAGAGATTGCACAGCCATTTGTCTGAAACAGTATAGGGTCTCTCACTTGAGAAGGGTTGAACTAGAAGACCCCCAAGATCCCTTCCAACTCTGTTAATGTATTCTGTCCTATTCCTATTCCTATTCTATTCCTATTCTATTCTATTCTATTCTATTCTATTCTATTCTATTCTATTCTATTCTATTCTATTCTATTCTATTCTATTCTATTCTATTCTATTCCATTCCATTCCATTCCATTCCATTGCCATTGTACTCAAGATATAGATATTTAATGGGGAATCATCTGCCCTTTGCTAAGAAGCTTCTATAATACAGTAACAATTTGTCCAATTATGTTCCAGTATGTACAACGACTTTTCCTTGACATCAAAAATCATGCATTACAGGGAACGATATCTTTTATTCAGCCTGTTCCTCAAAAGGTATTTGTTTTTTTGGTCTCTACCTTATATTCTGAAATGGTGGAAAGAGCATTTTAACATCTTCACCTCTGTGTTAGTCGTAATACCTTAATCTTCAGCTCCTTTCCCAAAATCTAATAGCTTTAAAACTTCTGAATTTGAAGCTCAGATGTTTCTAACATCACCTGGGTACAACCTATTTAATGGAGAGCTGGCACATTGAATAAAGTACAGGTAGTCCTTGACTTACAGCCATTTGTTAAGTACCATTTGAAGTTACAGCAGCACTGAAAAAAGAGACGCAGGACTGTTTTTCACACTGAACAACTGTTGCAACTGTTGCAATATCCCCATGTCACACGATTAAAATCCGGATGCGTGGCAACAGTTATGATTGTGCCCCAGGGTCACGTGATCACCTTTTGCGACCTTCTGACAAGCCAAGTCAATGGAGAAGCCAGATTCACTTAATAACCGTGTTGCTGATTTAACAACTGCAGTGATACACTTAACAACCATGTCACAAAAGGTCATAAAATGGAGCAAAACTCAACAACTGTTTTGCTTAGCAACAGAAATGTTGGGCTTAATTGTGGTTCTAAGGACTACTTGTATTGCTTGAAGAGATGCATATAGCTTTACAGCATAGGATTAACTGTTTTATTGGGCTTTCCTTGCCAAATCACTTATTTAAAAATATAAATAAATCACTGTCCCCTACTTTCCCAGGGGTTTAAAAGAGGCGAGAGAAACATGGGATCTATACAGAAGAAAGATGGATATGTTTGAACTGCAACTAGACCTTTTTAAGGTTAAAGGTTAACAATCTACTAACTCATTAAACAAATTTAATACAATCTAAGTCAGTGATTCTCAACCTTTCTAATGCCATGACCCCATAATACAGTTCCCCATGTTGTGGTGACCCCCAAGTGGGTGTGGCCACCAATAAGAGGGAGTAGGACAGCTAGGGAAAAGGGAAAAAAATGGCGGACGGCATGGTTTGGCGACCCCCATGAAATGGTCATTCGACCCCAAATGGGGTCCCGACCCACAGGTTGAGAACCACTGATCTAAGTGCTGCTGTCTAAAATAAACTATCGTAAATCAGCTTTGGGACATAGCAATATGATTGGGAAATTGCCATAGAAAATCAGGTACTATTGAGTCACTGAGAACAGGAAAGTTACTCAGATGTGATGGAGAGAGTAAAATAAAAGGAGGAATATATTTTCAGCCTGGCAGTTTCCTGAGATGCTTTGACCACAGACAGCTTCATCACAGAGTTAACTACCATTTCAAAAGCCCTCCTTTTTCTCACATATAGTTGTCTAAGTCTAACTTTCAGAAAAGTATTTACAGCAGAAAAGTGCCATTTCAGCTGACCTCTAGCCACTGTTCTCCAATCTCATCCTTTCCAAGTGAGCTGGGATCCCAGCTTCCAAGCTTCCCATTCAAAAATTCCAGCTATCAATTCTAGAAACTTCAGTCTCAGACAACAAGCTGGGCAAGGCTGTTAAGGAATAAAGGCCTGTTTTCTATGACACACTTTGGTATCTTAAAGCACTGGAATCAGAGCGACAACACAATCTTTTACTGAAAGAAAGATATCCATGCTGAGTTCTATTTGCTAAATACCAAACTTAGTATGCATTGCACTGACCGAGAGCAGACACAAAAGAGCTATCAGAATAGCAGTTTGGCTGACAAGGGGGGGGTCCACTTTCCCACAACCTCAGAGCACATATAATTGCTTGGGAAAACATGTCAAACTGTAGCAGAGGGGTGAGGGTGGGAGAAGAGAGGGAGAAGCCATTAGCTGAATAAAGATGAGGGACTTAGAACTCACTCACTACTCCAAACATATAAAACAATTCCAGCACCATCATCTGTCCTATCTGGCAGAAAAATAAAAGCAACAATTAACCTGGATTAGATTGCATTGTATTGCATAGTAAACCCAAGCTGAGATTTTAGTGGACAATTACATCAGCTTCCTTCTAAGTGACATTCTCTAAATGGGTGTAGAGGGGTGTATCACATCTTCTATGATTCTCAGCCAGCAGTGACTTTCAGAGTACAAGTATTTCTCAACTTACAACCATTTGTTTCATGATTGTTCAAAGTTACAACAGCGCTGAAAAAAAGTGACTTATGACCACTTTTCATAGTTACGAATTTTGCAGCATCCCCATGATTATGAGATCAAAATTCAGGTGCTTGATTCATAGTTATGACCTTGCTTATCTTTTGTGACAAGGAAAGTCAATGGGGAAGCCAGATTCACTTAACAACCATGTTACTAACCTAACAACTGTGACAAGAAAGGTTGTAAAAGGGGGCAAAACTCACTTAACAAATGTCCTCACTTAACAACTGAAATGTTGGGATCAACTGTGGTCTGAAGTCAAGAACTACCTGTACAACATGAAATTCTCTACCATCCTGTCAGGATCAACTTTGAAATTGTGAGGTGCAATTGTGAGTATACACAAATGCAAATCAAATATGTTTCTGTTGTGTTTGGGGTCATTCTGAAGCAAAATAATGCAAAGATGATGAAATGATTTCAACCACAGATTAACATTTTGGACAGATAAAGTTATGGCCTCAGTCCACAATTTTGCCAAAACCATGATCAGTCGATTTTTCAATACAACCACGAGAGAAGATGTTTAAACACTGTGAGGTCCTTGGTGCTCTCTGAGCTTGGTGGTTTTCTTGCAGTTTCATTTCCAAACTAGCATTAATGATATTACCTAATTGGTTAATAAAATGTCTGCAAGAAAACCACCATGCTCCGGGAGCACCAAGGACCATACAGTTTAACCCTGAGCTACAAATATCAATTTAAACACTATCCACTGGTATACCAAGCATTTTAATGGATCTCCCTTCTCTTCAAGTCCATGCTGTCTCGATAATGAAACAGCAAATCTCACCCAAACTTTCCACTGTTAATCGGGGAGAACTAGCCAAGATCCTCCTCATTTCTTAAATCAGGACTGACACAATGAACAGCCTTGGCTCCATTACTTCTTCATTTTGAAGTAAGTGAGGAGAAAATGGAAAAGAAACCATTTAAGCAAAACTGCTCAAAAACTGTGAACTGAAGAAAAACGTTCAGCTCTATCTTGCTGTACTGAACAAATAGCCAGTTGCCCTGGCAATAACACAAAGGATTGAGAAACCTAGCAAGGATTTGCAGAGCTGTTCTTCGATAAAAGAATTACAGTAAAAAGTATAAAAGTATTAAACAGGAAGGAAAGCGCAAAGGACTAGATGGACAATGAATGGTCAGGACTTGGGTAGGGCCAGTGCTCATCTATTCTGATAAAAATATGATCACAGAATATTTTATTAGCTCAGGAACTTTTCAAGTAGGGTGGGGAAGTGGCTCTTAATTTAATTCTCAGCTGCATTGGGCACGCAAGAGATCTTTTTAGCCTGCAGAATTTTAGGGAGAGTACGTTTAGTTCAGTCACTTTCCC